GGGGTGGGGGGGGGACAGGCATCCCCCCGGGTGCGGGCAGCGAGGAGGCAAGGGGTTAAACCTCCCCACGCCTGCCGCCGGATGCAGCATCCTGGGCTGGGCTCTTTCCATCTTGTTTTGGTTTGGAGGAATAAAAGCTTTGGCAGCCTCGTCCCTGCTTCCCGAAATAACTCAGCCTCCCATGGTAATTATAGAGCTCTGGTCCCCCGTAGCCGCTCGCGGTGGCTTCTCGGCCCTGCCGTGCTGTGCCCAGACCCCATAACGCTGCTGCCAGCCGGGGGGAGCGGGGTGTCCCGGGGACCTCTCGAGCAGCCCCAGCCTCCCTCCGTGTCACCGTCCTCGCTCCCCTTGCCTCATCCCCCCGTTCAAGAAAAATACAGCCCTTTGCATCTCCCGCTCCCCAGCTCATCCCCTTCAGCTTTTAATGCTGTATTTAAAGCCCGGGCTGCAGCTCACCAGCCTCCCTGGGCACCGGGCTACTGGAGAGAGGCCGTGGCAAACCAGCAGCTGCTCCCGTGCTGTGCCCAGCCCGCTGGCACGGCTGAGAACTCCTAGCTCATCACAGCAGTGCCCGACCTGCCTGCCCTCCCACCCCCCTGCGGGGCTCAGCGCTGCTCCTTGAAGGGCAGGGAGAGCCGGGGCTGAGCTCCTGGAGCCCCTGAGCCTGTAATCCCCAGTAATCTCCGAGGAAAGCGCTTGCTGGGCGGATTAGAGATGCACAGAGCCCCCCTCACCTGCCTGCCCCTGCCCGCTCCTGCCCCCGGACCCCCTGGCCACCAGCGGGAGAGGAAGGGCTGCCAGGCGAGTGGGCTCGCTGCCCGGCCACCCCAGATGGGACAGGGTTTGGGGGGGCCTTTGGGGCTTCCCCCCTCCTCCCCGCCAGATTGAGCCTGCGCTGGTTATTTATGGGAATAAAGGGAACGTGGAGCCATCTGCTCCCAGCCTGGCCCTGTACTGTGGGAGGGGACACCACCCCGGGCAGTGACAAGGTTGGGGACAAGGCTGAGATGGCCCTTGTGGAGTCACCCGGCCTCGGGGGGAGTCCCCGTGGGGGGCTGGACCCGGCTTTTCCTGCGGGAAATCACCACCAGCTCCGTTTTATGGAAAGCGGGGTGGGGAGGAGGGGCCTGTGAGAGGGATGCTCTGGGAACGGTGTGGCCTTGTCATCCCCCAGCACGGGGGGGTGTCTGGGGGGGACAGGGACAGCCCCAGTGGGCTGCTGGACCAGGAGGCTGCAATTTGGGGAGAGCTGAGGCTCTGCCAGCTGCTCACTGCAGGGAATGGCCACCTCTGGCCAAGACCCCCCCCCAGCCCCTTTCATGGCCGGGAACACAAGTGCCCCACGCTGTCCCCACCGGCTGTGCCAGCGTCCTCCCCTGCCCTCGGTGGGGACCGGGGGGACACAGCCACCCGCCATTGCCACTCACTGACTTGGAAAGGATGGGCCGGGGGCATCCTGGGAAGGGGCTGCAGTGCCTGGCAGAGGATGGGGACGGGGATGGGGACACAGACCCTGGGGGTGCTGGTTCCACCTGCCAGATTGCCAGCTGCCAGCCAGTCACGGCCGAGCCAAGGCAGGGCCGGGGGCAGGATGGCCCGGCATCATTCCTTGGGAAGGGCTCCAGGAGGGGGAAGCAGGCTGGGATTGTGTGGAGGGAGCACTGGGAAAGACTGGGATCTGGTGCCGCATGCCTGGTTCAGTCCCTGGTACCCAGCACGTGGTGCCCGATGGCTGCTGTGTGGTGCCAGCGCGTTTGCCTGGTGCTCAGCACCCCATGTGTGGTTTCTAATACCCAATACCCGCTAACTGGTACCCAGCTGTTCCCAGTACCCAGTGGGTGGTGTGCCCAGTGCCTCCTGCCCAGTACCTGCTACTGGCAAACAATGCCCAGTACTGGTTCCTGCTGCTGGGAACTCACTGCCTGTTGCTGGGGTCTTGTGCCCACCACCCACCGCCCACTCTGCACCGGGACCCTGTGCCTGTTGTGGTGTGCTGGTGCTCTGTAACTGGTACTGGTGCCCCATAACTGGTACTCGTGCCCCATACCTAATGCCAATTCCCAGCACCCTGTGCAGGCATCCTGTTCCCAGTGCCCTGCTCCAAGGCTCTGGTGCCCCAGTGCTGATGCTGGAGCCCCGTGTCTGGTGCTGCTGCCTCGTACCACTGCCTGGTGCCAGTGGTGGTGTACGGGGCCTGGTGCTGGGTGCTGGAGCCAGTGCCCAGTGTGATGCTGGTGCCGGGTGCTGATGCTGGTGCTGGGTGTCTGGTGTGGTGACGGTACCCAATGCTAGTGCCCAGCACGGTGCTGATGCCAGGTGTTGGTGCTGGTGCTGGGTGCTGACACCAGTGCCTAGTGCTGGTGCCTGGTGCGGTGTTGGGTGCTGATGTTGGTGCCCGGTGCTGGGTGCCTGGTGCAGTGACAGTGCTGACACCAGTGCCGGTGCTCGGTGCTGGTGCTGGGTGCTGATGCTGGTGCCCGGTGTGATACTGGTCCCCGTGCTGATGCTGGTGCTGGGTGCCCGGTGCGATGACGATGCTGGGTGCTGACACCGGTGCCCAGTGCTGGTGCCAGGTATTGATGCTGGTGCCCAGTGTGATACTGGTGCTGGGTGCCCAGTGTGATGATGATGCTGGGTTCTGACACCGGTGTCCAGCGCTGGTGCCCGGTGCCCGTGCTGATGCCAGTGCTTATTCAGGTGCCCGGTGCTGGGTGCTGACACCGGTGCCCGTGCTGGTGCCCGGTGCCCGATGCTCAGCACCCCATGTGTGGTTTCTAATACCCAGTACCCAGTGGGTGGTGTGCCCAGTGCCTCCTGCCCAGTACCTGCTACTGGCAAACAATGCCCAGTACTGGTTCCTGCTGCTGGGAACTCACTGCCTGTTGCTGGGGTCTTGTGCCCACCACCCACCGCCCACTCTGCACCGGGACCCTGTGCCTGTTGTGGTGTGCTGGTGCTCTGTAACTGGTACTGGTGCCCTGTACTTCATGCCAATTCCCGGTACCCTGTGCAGGCATCCTGTTCCCAGTGCCCTGCTCCAAGGCTCTGGTGCCCCAGTGCTGATGCTGGAGCCCCGTGTCTGGTGCTGCTGCCTCGTACCACTGCCTGGTGCCAGTGGTGGTGTACGGGGCCTGGTGCTGGGTGCTGGAGCCAGTGCCCAGTGTGATGCTGGTGCCGGGTGCTGATGCTGGTGCTGGGTGTCTGGTGTGGTGACGGTACCCAATGCTAGTGCCCAGCACGGTGCTGATGCCAGGTGTTGGTGCTGGTGCTGGGTGCTGACACCAGTGCCTAGTGCTGGTGCCTGGTGCGGTGTTGGGTGCTGATGTTGGTGCCCGGTGCTGGGTGCCTGGTGCAGTGACAGTGCTGACACCAGTGCCGGTGCTCGGTGCTGGTGCTGGGTGCTGATGCTGGTGCCCGGTGTGATACTGGTCCCCGTGCTGATGCTGGTGCTGGGTGCCCGGTGCGATGACGATGCTGGGTGCTGACGCTGGTGCCCGGTGCCCGTGCTGATGCTGGTGCCCGGTGTGATACTGGTCCCCGTGCTGATGCTGGTGCCCGGTGTGATACTGGTCCCCGTGCTGATGCTGGTGCCCGGTGTGATACTGGTCCCCGTGCTGATGCTGGTGCCCGGTGTGATACTGGTCCCCGTGCTGATGCTGGTGCTGGGTGCCCGGTGCGATGACGATGCTGGGTGCTGACGCTGGTGCCCGGTGCTTATTCCGGGGCCCGGTGCTGGGTGCTGACACCAGTGCCCAGTGCTGGTGCCAGGTATTGA